ATATATGACAATATTTAAATATAATATATCCTAGACTGACAAATCATCTCCGTTCAGAATCGTTTTTCGTATACAATGATCATACCTATCATTGCATTCAAATTTAATCCCATCCATTACAGTAACCTACTGTACAAGCTGTATATATTTAATCTATGAGCAGAGCGACATTCACGACTTACCCGCTTTTTTTTTGTAAGTTCGTGACTGTTCATCACACCTACATGCCAACATGCCAAGAAGATAAAATAATGCATCGTTTTCAACTTAAGTCTCTTTTTTGGAAAAATGAATCTATATAGATGGTTTTTTAGGAGTACTTCTAGCCTCTATAGGTACTTAGTTTGGAAAACGAAAATATCGATAAAAACTGGTATGTTTAAGCAAAACCCGTTCTTGAAAAAATTGAATTGTTTATTTTTTTGTGTTCCTAAGCCTAACTCCAAACTGACAAAACATAACAACCATTGGTTATTTGTAATTTTTAGTGGCTATTATGATTTATATGATTAATGATTTTTTGAAAATGAAAAATGATTTTGAAATTGAAAATGATTTTTGTGTACGCGCCGAGTAAAATCACAGATTATATATATAAATTTATATAATCTGTGGTAAAATCAAGTATGCTTATAGTTTTTCTTCCATTTATGTGAATTTATCAGATTTTGTTCCAGGACGCGTCTATGTTCTGTAATTATAACCTAAAATAATCAATACTTATATCGTGTTCAAAGTAAATGTGTTTAGTTTATTGGTAGTGCGGCTGCCTTTATCCTTCACATTTCATTTGAAATTTCAGTGTGCTATTGGTGTGGTAATTCAATCAACAATACACTCTGCCTATTTGTAGACTGTAGTTCTTAAGTTTTAGAGTGTTTTATACTAATTATTGTATTAATATTTACTTTTTCCAATTTATTAACTGATTTGAAAGGTAAATAATTAATATATGGTTTATAATTATTACAAATTTGTTTTAATCGCCATGTTATATCTTTCATATTATAATGTGAACCTTATGATTTCTAATTCAACATGTGGAACCAATTAGTATGCATTTCAAATAATCTTTAAGATGAAACCTTATTTTCATTCCATTTTGTTTTACCACAATGATTATACATGTTGTTTTATTTATACAATAATTTATATTATATTTTATAAACTTAAATTATACACTATTAATTTAATGTTCTGTGTTAACAATAATTTTTGTGGCTTAAATTATTGTATACTTATTTTTATATGTTCTAGATGAAGCTAAAGACTAATAATTCTGCTAAGAAGCCCTCAAATGCAAACAAGTAATTATAAATTATGCAAACATTAAAATATATTTTTTTATAGTAATAGTTATTATGGGTTGTGTTAATCTTACTAGATAGAATGTTTGTTTAAATACTGAGAAAAATTAATCTCACATCAAGTAAAACAGTGTTTTATTTGATTTGTTATACTAATGTTTTACAAAAATTAATAGATTTGTTAAAGGCCTAGATCATAAATGTAGATTAAGATTTATATTGCTTGTTGGATGTAGCATCAAAATATTAACCAAGTATCAAAAGTTAATAAAGAGTACAAGGACTTAAAATAATATGATTACTTCAGGTTAAGAGTATACTAGTCTTAAGGATATAAGCCATAGTGCCCCCTTGGCCACTATTAGACACATTGTCATTGGATGTTGGCTATCATCGTCAATCATACATTTATGTGTGTCTAAAAGTGAGAGCACGTAAACTTGACTAGTTTTGCTAGCCAGTTTGTATCCTTATCCTGAATAGAGTAGTAAAGAAGTGATTTTTAAGTATACTTACTCATGGGCGGATAGGCCATTTTTGGCCTACTGGAAAATTTTAAAAAGGGGCCCCCACATGAAAATTTTTTTTATAATATATGATATTAAAGGGCCCCATCGGGAAATGCCCAGTAGTCCGGTAGGCCTATCCGCCCATGTACTTACTCCATTTTTTAATTATTCTGCATTTTAAAATGTTTGAGTGCAGCTTAAGATTTTATTGTCAAATACTTAGATGGATAATTTTTAAGTTATAGGTACTTAAAATTCCTAGGATAATTATGATCTATTAAAAGAATGTTTATTTTTGTCTTAAAAATTATTGGTTGCAATTTTAATTCATAAGCATTTTTTTATAATATTAGATAATTCATTAGGTATAGCATAACCTACTGTATCAGGGATATTAATGGGATGGGAGAAAGAGCTGGAAATACAGCATTAGAAGAAATTTTTTATAATATTAGATAATGGACTAAGTATCAGTTATTAATTAATAATAATTTACATTGCATGGTATATTTTGCATCATAATTTCCGAGTATCTAGTTAAAATGTATAGTATTTAAAGTAGAATTACTCAGTAATTTAATGTACAAATCTCAATAGACATGTCAACATGAATAAACATAAAATGGTTTGAGCATACTTGGAAATCATCCCTTCACATAAGTAGATTTTATTTTCAACTTAATTGAATTGTAGTAAAACATTAAAAATTTATAAAAATATTGTTCATTGTGTTTTATTTTCCCAGAACCCGCTGATCCATAGAAAAATTCTTTAAAATTCTTAATAATTATGCATTTTGATTTAATATATAGAACTAAATCTCCAAAGAAACAAGCTAAAGGCGGTGTACAAGTTAGAAAAGAAAAATCTAAAGATCTTGTCAAGCCATCTGTACTGAAAAAAGAAGGAGAAAAAATTAAAGTAGAAACACCTCCTAATCCTGAAAAATTGGCACTACAAGAATTATGGGCTAAAGCTATTCAAAATGTTTCTAATATGACTGATCTTTCTGAGGAAGAGACTAGTATTGCTAAGCTATTAGGAGATTACAAAAATAAATCTTCTATTCCGCAAAAGAATAAAAAACTGAAAGTAAGGCCTTATTATTTTTTTTTTACATTTAGTGTTTTTCTAATAATATTTTGAATGTTTTTATAGAATATGATTACAAAAGGATTTTCCAAATTTAAGGATACTAGTGATGAAGTATTGGATAGCCTTTATGAAAAATTAATTAATGAATTTAAAGCTGTTGGTGGTAACGTAGAAAGTATAAATAAAGACACTAAAGTTAGGTCAACAAAACCTGATTCCAAGGCACAAAAATCTAATAATGTAGAAGCTTCTAATGATGAAGAAATGGATGACGATGATGAAGTTGAGGATGATGATAATGCTGATGATGACGTTGTTGATGACGATGATGATGATGAAATTGAAGGTCTTGAAGTTGATGATGGTGATGATGATGATGATGAAGAAAGTGAAGAAGAAAAACCTAAGCCTAAAACTAAGGGTGGTTTCAAAAATGGTAAAAGTCAGCCAAATAAAGGTAAAAATGGTTCTAAATTTAAAGGTGGCAAAGTACAGAAAAATAAAAAGTTTAATAAGAAAAAGTAATTTATATAGTTAGTAACTAAAATTTTACAATTTTTGACAATTTTTTTAACTTTGTAATTGTATAAATTTACAAATATATAATTATAATAAATATTACTATTTATAATGATTTTTATTCTTTAATTTTTTTAGCTAGCTGTTTTTCGATAGCTTGATGCCTTGATATATATAAATGTGGGAATGGTATTCATTATGATTTATTGAGTGATTTTTATTTATATTTTGAACAAAAAATTATATAATCAACATGTGATGGTAGATATTAATTTAGAAATTTGAATTACGTATTTGTATACCCTTCATTTGTGACGAGTTTAATACTTTTTGATAACATTTATACTTAAAATGGCCATTTTTGTAGTCTCCTATGGATGAAGATATTTTTCTCTAACCTGTTTTAATGTAACACATCAAGTGTTAAAAATTTATTTTAAAATTTAATTAAAATTTCAATTGTTCTTAATATCAATATTAAGAACTATTAACTAAGTTATTATTAATATCATACATACTGTTTTCAGAATAAGAAAGCAATGCGTTATCCATAATATGATAATCTATGCGACATGCCCTTTGAGTATCGCCAGTGATCTGTGATTATAGTTGGTTGCAATCATCATTTTCATGGTTATCATTTTTTGTTTTGTTTCTTGGATATAGGGAAGGAGAAACTCGCCACAAATTCAAACTGTTTTTTGAGCACATTGCATCCTAGTTCTGTTAACAGTAAAGGCACATGTAAAAAGGTTCTACATATGTGGTCACGCTCTGATATTATACTATAGGAATGTTTATGCGGTGCATGAGCAAAAAGGTTCTCTAAAAAAAAAATTGTTATGCCATGCAACTAATTTTAGTTAATATTAGTTTTCTACAATTGTACAGTTAAATACTCACATGTGCTCTTGTTTAACCAAAGAAAAAGTGACAGATATTATTTACAGGTGACAATCGTGATGTAAAAACAATGAATGACTATTGTATGAAAACATGTTGTATGATTAAGATCAGTATTTGTTAGCAGTGGAGGCATACACTTTTTAATATTTTTCAAAACCAATTTCCAAATATTTCATCTAGACATCATTTTTATTACTTAAAATTGGTGAATTATTTTGCTTTTACAATAATTTTAGATTATTTTTTGAATAAGGTTTTTGTTCTAGGTATTTAACATTTGAGTCATTTGTTTTTAGAATTAAACTTTCTCATAGTTAGGTAACTTAATTATTGTTTTGGTGATGTTGAATAGATAAATGTAAGACATTTTTTTAGTATTTCACTTGGACACTAGATTACATTTTTGCAAAGGAAATATATAAAATTAGAAGAAACTATTATGATTATTATAAATATAAAATAAATTTATACAAATTAAGAAGCTTTTTTATATTCTTTGATTCTTTTATAATAAATATGCAAATATATATGGTAATTTGAAATTAATATGCTTGGCCATAATATAAAATTTAAAACATTGTAATGAAACATGTTTTTAKTTTTTTTTATGTTGTATGATACTTAATTGGGGCATACCTACTATATTTTTACATTATCTTTAGAAATTATATCAATTGTATAGGACTATTGATTTAGTTTAAGGTATACCACACATTTACTCAAAATTTAGTGTTCATCTACAAAAACTACAAATAGAAGAATAGTATTCAACTCAGATTTTATATAAGTAAATTTAAAATACCTTTTATACCCTCAAATGCTAATTCAAAATGTCTTAAATTCAAATGTACAATAAATAACATACAAGTCAAAATATGTTGTATATATATAAATCATTGCAACAATTTGCAAATAATGACAGGTTGTTTGTGTCACASTTGGTGAATTTGTTTAAGTTAACATAATCTGGGAACGTTGAGTATGGCCATGTAATTATTTGCATTGCTTCTAGTCAGAGTTTTAATCACAAAGTGGAGACTGAGACTAGGAATCATCTCTAAGTCTAATATATTACCTTAATTCAATTTATTATAGGTCATAGGTATAGTTATCCATTAGTCTGTAGTTACTTAATAAGTAAATCATAATTTAATTGTTTCAACTCGTACTCTGTTACCTACTCTTGAAGATCTTCTATATGCAAGCCTCAAGAACAGGGATATTCAAAGGTAATAGTATATGGTATTACTATTTCAATAAACATTTAATAAATCTTTGTGTACTTTACTACACCTTGTTAGTTAAACTAACAGTTTATGATGACAGGTCATTAGTCTCTCGGACCTATAAAATATAACTTACTAAACTTTATTCGCCTATATAACAGATTCGTGTAGGCATAAATGCTAACCAACTAATTCTTAAAACTGTATAGGATTAGCCATTAGTCATAAGGTCAATAATTGGGAATTTATCCTTCTGCGTACTGTAAAACATTTAGTTTAACTAATTAACAAAATTTTGTTGCTTACTTCTGTACCACTTTCTCCTTGGTACAAAGGACTAGGGTCACCAAGGTAGTTACTGTATCCCAGTACTCTGGTTTCCAGTTCTTTTCATCACCAGTGGGCAGAATTACCCTAGGGATCTGTGTCTACCAGGCGCATAGATTCTCCAAGCTCCTTTAATTCAAGCTAGAACTCGTTTCTTACCACAATCAAGTCATAAACTTAGCTTCCAAGTTCTTGTGCAGTTATGGCTTGAGTTTTGGTCAGACACGCTTATATTGGTTTTAAATTTATACGGAAAATAATACACTTAAATCATGTTACAGTTGTTCACTCAATATAATTATTGTTCAATTTGATTATTGCGGTAGTGTCCATTAAAGAATACTATAGCAAATTGACATTAACCAAAAAGTTGTATTCAATTTGTTTGTCGTTGATATGGTTTTCAAAATATTTTTCCTGTTTAATTTTAAGACATTTGAAATCATTGGAATTTTTTTCGATAAACATTAACTAACTGCCACATTTAAAAAAAAAATATTGTGAATACTAACTGGCCAGTAACTGCTCTGAATGTGTTTATGTGTGTCCTTTCACTTAATATAGATTGAATTGAACCTAGTTTACCAATGATCAAGATGTCATTACTTATTTATTTTATAATAACAATAAAACATCAACTTTAAAGTACAACCATTATTGTTGATTGTGATGTGTAGGTACAATGTTAAACTCATTTTTCTAAGTTACTGCTATTTAGTTTACAAAAAATATTCCTTAAATGCTAATATTTACTATCGTAATGCAGTATAGTATTAAATTATTTATTTTAGATGCTTAAATTGCTTATTCAACATAATTTCAATTGTGTTTGATATATACAAATATATGGTTCAACTGGGATAAGTACGAGGTAAGACTAAGAAATTAAAATAGGATAAAAAATTAAAATTTTCTGAGTGTTTTTAGTAGTAATCTAGTGTTTAATTGTAAATAAAATAAAATAAACTTTCAATTCAAACACTACTTTTGTATATTTGTACTCTACGATATCTTCTAGCATATAAGATTGTAGCCATAATTAATAGTAACACCTATCAATATAAATTTAATGATAAATAAATGAGTAACAATGGATCATTCATTATTGTGTCTAATTAACCCAACTGTGGGGATAGTTTGTTTCTCTGATGCCAGTTTATTTTTTACATCAGGGTTTTAAGCATTTTATTGATACATAATACATTTATAGACCACATTATTTTACTGATATTTATGATTGTTCAGTAGTATTAATGATTCAATAATTTATTATCATCTATAAAAACATAATATGTAAAAATGAAAATTTCATATACAATTAATACAATTAATTAACAACTATTTTTTTTTAACTTATTTATTGAATACTCTAAAACAGTTAGGTCACCAAGGTTCAAATTAATTACAGCATATATTATATTTTACTTTAAATACAATAACTTTAATACATTATACAATTTTGTTTTCAGACTAATCTATAAGAGAACAAATTTCGTGTCAACAAAATATTACAATAGTCACTTAGAAAATTTGTATTTACCGGTGTATATTTTATGTAAAATCTAATACCTAAATAAAACTAATAAAATAATGTTGGTAAGCAACTTAAACCTTTGAGTATACATTATTATTATTATGTAAAAAGTGAAATTGTCTTGATCAGTTTATGATAGACTTAKTTACAATACATTGATATTTTATAAAGCAAATTACAATTTAATGATGCATAATATTGAAGCTAAAGGAATATTTTATATTTTAATTCTATTCTATGGATTTTTTTCTAATTTCAAACATTTCAATGCTAATTAATTCCTAATTTATTAATATGACAGTTGATTACATGATCAAAGTTTAGTTTATTTTACAGGCATATTTATTTATATATATACGTACCTATACATAATACTTAACCTAATAATGAGTTTCTAGAATATGAGAAAATATCTGTGCTTGGTTTAAAAAACTTTTCATACAAAGATCACATTTATATTCTTCATTTACTGTATTTATATCATTGTTGACATTATAGTTTAGAGGAGTGTTTTTTTCAAACTGAGCGTGATTTTTTCTATGTTCATTAAGACTAGTTGAACACATAAAAGAAATTTTACAGATATCACAGTCAAAGAGTTTATTATTTTTTTGCTGCATGTACCTGTAATGTCTTTTAAGTGAAGAAAGATTATCAAATACTTTTAAACAGCAAGTACATGTAGATGATTTATATCTATTCTTGTTATTTTGATGTGTTTTTAGATGCGCATTTAATGACCATGAATGATAGAATAATTTGGTACACATATTGCATTTAAACTGCTTTCTTCTACTACATTGTCGTCTTGTACGTACTTCCATGGTTGATAGTTGATGACAGCTCTTATTTTCAAGGAATTTTTCTTTTGAATGTAATCTTTTATGAAGTAATAATGAGGACATCTGTGTATAAGGTTTTTGACAAATATCACATGCAAATAGCTTGTAAGGTTTTAAATGAATATTTAAATTTGATGACTCTGGAAACCATTTCCCACAAAAATTACACCTAAATGGTCTTTCTCCAGTATGATTTTTTTCATGGGATAAATAAAGAGAACATTTTGAAAATGTCTTAGGACAGAATTCACATTTAAAATTATTGATACCAAGATGCCATCCATAATGTTGTTGTAGTCTATGAGATGTAGTGAATGATTGGGGACATACATCACATTTGAAATGGTTTTTTCCTAAACGTAAGATATAGTCCCGCGAAGAATCACATATATTTGTACATTCGTCACAACTATATTTGGAATAATCTTCTTGGTGATTTTCAAAAATATGACATACTATTTCTGAACGTTTATAAAATACTCTTGAACATCTTGAACATTCATATTTTTTAGATGATGTGCAGACTTCTTTTGTATGCCTTAATGCACTATAATTTAAGAACTTCAAACGAATATTGTATTGGTTGATACTTCTTAAATCGTGTGTTCTTTTATGATCTTTTAAAGATGACTGTTTAAAGAATTGCTTATAACATATGTTGCAATGAAGTGTATGAATAACTTTATGTTTTTCCAGAGCATTCAATTTTTTAAAGGATTTATGACATTTATTACAGTTGAAGAGTTTATTTTTTGGAAAAATGCATATGTGAGTTTTTAAAACAGACAATTTAGTAAATGACTGCCCACATGTTTTACATTTCCATGTATACTTTTCTTTAAGGTGCTGATTATTTCCGCATGCAATACTATTTAAAACTGAACATACATTACATAAGTTATTTTTTTTAGTATGCAATATTTGATGTTTTTTGATAAAATTGTCATTTCTAATTACATCTTGACAAATTCTGCATTTATCGTTCATATCTTGTGTATGATTAGTTTTTAAATTACTTATATTGTTGCAATATGCTATTGAATTTTCAGAATTGTTGTACAAATAATAAGTAGGGCTGTTGTGTTCAAGATCAAAAGGACTTTCCGGAAAGCATAAACTAGTTCTAAAATGTTCAATAATCTCAAAACGTCTAAAGAATATTTTCCCACAAATATCACACCCATACTTCTTAATTGGTTTATCTATTTTACTTGGTTCTTTGATGGATATTTTACTTGAGTCAGATGTATTATGGTCAACGTCAATCTTGAATTGGAAACCAATTGACTCAGATGTTACAACTTTACTTTTTTCGACTTTACAGGTATCAATTGGAAGCAATACATTTGCAATTGATGAAAGAGGTAACTCATTATCAGAGGAACTAAAATTTAAACAAAAATAATGATTAAATAAATAAAATTGAAATATGATATTAACCTTACTTTTCAATGTCCGATTGAATATCATACAAATTAATATCTTGTTTTACACTTGTATGGTCATTAATCATGGATATTGGTGAAAGAGGCAACTTATTTTTTGAGTTACTAAAATTTAAACAAAATAGTAATTTATTTATAAATAAAAGGTTTTAAAACAATATTTTTTTGATCACAATTGATTTTATATGTACTTTTTCAGGTTAGAATGAATATTATTCACTATAACATCTTGCCATTTTTTGGCATCAATGTTATTAGTTGTTCCTATTGATGAAAGAGGTAATTCATTGTCTGAACAACTAAAATTTAAGCAAAAAATGTTCAAATTATTGAACAAAAAATCATGGTTTATAACTTACTTTTCATGGTTAGATTGGATTTCATCCAATAAAATTTCTTGCCACTTTTCAGTATCGATGTTGTTATTAGTAGAACTCAACATAATTGTTCAGCAGCTTACATTAATAACTCTAAAATAAATAAATAAATATTTTTAGGTGTAAAATAATGTATGATAAAATATGAAATTTCAAATTCTTATTAAAATGTTATTATCAAAGCCAATACGCAGTTACATACTATTGATAGCACCTAAGTACTTTTATATTTATTATTAATACATTCATATTATAAATAAAAATTGTATTACCTTCTAAAAATGGAATAAGCATATCTTTTAAAACAAAAATAATAATACCCTCACATTATTACGATTCATAGATCGACCAAAATTAATSTAATTGCTGAACAATATATTTGAACAGAAAATTTTTTTTTTTATGTGCCTATAGGATATTGGATAGTATAATAATGGTAACAATAAGAAATATATCAACATATATTATAAAAAATATGAACTATTTCAAAATCAAAAACAAAAAACAACATTAATCATAAATTGAACCCGATTCTTTGGCTTGTTGATTGATAATAATCATTCAAATAGGTACACAAATTTAAAAAGAAATTTATTCCAGAATCTTAAACTTATTAATCAAATAAATCAATAAATTGTTTATAAAATGAATAGTATATAATATTCACCAATCTACTTTAATATGTATGCATAAAAATATTTTCATTTACTTCTTAAAGAAACATGTACATACCTAAACAAGAAAACCAATATTTATAATACACTTTCAAAATAATAATAATAATGGAAATCTGTATTTATTAACACTAAAAAAAATATTTTATAAAATGCATAATTAAATAATATCTAAATACTGTATAATAGTGTAACTCAAAGTGACTGTCCTCTGGGCACTGATAACAACAAATTAGGTGTGATAGAAATAATAATACTTCAATCTCATCCAATATTATAAATAAAAAAACTTGAATATGAAATATTAATGATAATAAAATATAGAAAAATGACTATAGTATAAATCAATATAAGTTGTATWTTAAAGTTATTCTTGATTTATATTGGAAAGAAATATTAATAGTTTTATTTAATATAGAAACATACTATAGCATGCAAGCAATAATACTTTTAAGCCAACAAGTTTTCAAATTGAATTTACAAATAATATAAATATTTATATACTGAAATAATGAAGAGAAAAAAGAGTTTTAAATAGTTGCAAAACATAATTTCAGTAAATTTTGATGAAATATTCTAATAATATTAGAAATTATGATATTTACGATTAAAGTACGATTTTAAAGATTATAACTATTCACAGATATTATAGTAGTATACGACCAAATAGTATTAAGATAATTATATTATTATGTTTTTATATTTTCTAATATTTTTTTATAACAATTACATTATAATTGAATACATGCATAAGATTTTTGGAATTTAGTATTATACAATGGATAATCTAGCTAAACCAGTAAAAATAAACATATTTTTCAAGTTTGTTTTTGCATTGGAGTAATTTATTAAATATTAAATTATTTATACAATAGAATCATGATTTTCACAAAAAAAAAAATTATATTATATTATCTGCAATGTATAGAATAGTTCTATACATTCTAATTTACTTTTACCAAACTGTATTAATCACACATTTTATGACAGTCTGTATGCTACAGCGTCATTTTTTACTAAGAATAAATATTGGCTCTGAATTATTAAGTGTGTATTATGAATTTTATGAAATATAATAATATTCCAGAGGAGTAGCCACTAGCYAGAATTACAAAAGATAAGAGGGGGTTTAAGCATAAATTAAATTAAGTTTTTAAGTTTTTGTATAAAATTAATATATATAATACATTTATTAAGGATAAGAGACAATTGGGAGGGAGGAGTTAAACACTTGAGACTGAGCCACTGGACACGATGTTTGTTGCATAAAACTAAACACCACAAATCATTTTTGCAACAAACATTATTTTGAATTAAAAAAATGTAGACCGTATGTCTATTAGAAGTCTATTGTTAAATTAATTTAGTACATATCATATATTTATCGAAAAAACTGTATTCATTAATACGTACTCTTAAGAATATTAAATATTTTGAACTAAATGAAGTAGGATTCTAAACCATTTTTATAAAATATAAGTCAACAATTATATAAAAATAAAATGACTATTGATAACAACATAAGAAAAACAAAATTTATTAAAGTCAAATAGGAAAATTATAGCTATTAGCTTTAGAAAATTCATTTAAAATGCCAGTCTTTTTTTTGTATTTATAGTAAAATATACAATAATGTAAACAAAGAAAAAACTGTTAGCTAAAAACGATCACTATATAACAGAACATTACTAGAATTATGCTAGGATACATAAACAAACACTAAAAAAATTAAATAATAATAGTTCTCTTTTTAACTCTTTTGGTTTCTTTAGAGACCTATAAAGTATTTTTGTAGCCTACTGAATTAATCAATTTTTAATCTAGTCAGCAACAGAATATAGAACTATATTTTATTGATGATTTTAGTTATAACTACAATTATAATCAATAATTAACTATACTTACAACTCAACAAATCACACACAATTAAATATTCTATCTGCAACAAACATATATTTTTTTTTAAATACTTATTTTTTACAGTAATTAATTATAATGAAAATCAATCAAATATATTTATTATATAAAATTATTTAAAATTTAAATTGGAGTAGATAGGACACTATATGCACAATTTAATGATTTTTTTTTGATAAAAAAAATAATAAAAACATACTTTTATAATACACATCATATTTAGTTTAATGATTTGTTTATAATATAATAATGCATTTATTAATTCAAGATTTATAAAATAATGAATATCTAATAACAACCTACTTTAGAAAATGTCCGCATGGCAGCATAATATGAAAAGTTTGATCATGGCAATTTAATAAATATATTAAGAATATAATTTTATTATAATAATTTAAGTTTTTAATATTTAAATATAGACACTACACGACATAATAAATCACATCAGGAAATGCAAAATATGATAAATAATATTTTAGAAAATACAATAGGCATACAGTATTATTATATTGTATAATGCATTATTGCATTTTAATATTAATAAATTATTAAATTTCCAGTTGAAAATTGTACTATAATACTGAATACTCATAATAGTATGGCACAATACTACTGAAACTGTAGCACTAATTTATATTTTAACTTGCTTGCCTATTGTACATATTTTGTACCTCACTACCTAGTACCTCCAATTATTATAAATTATATTTTGCCATGGTACCTTACTACCAGCTTGGTTAAAAACTAAAATTCTTATTAATGATAACTGAACAATTGAGATTATATTATCTAATTCGTAGATCATGGTCATGGTTAGATTCAACAGTGAACAGATATAGAAAATAGGAAAATAAGAATATTGTATTATTATTGTGTAATTATCATTATAACGTAATATTATATTACTAGTATTTCAATATTTGAGACTCTGAGAGGTTTGATCTTCTCTTTTAGACCGTCAGACTCACGCGCAACATAGTAAAAACTTATAACGCTTTTATTTTAAATCGTAAAATAGATAATATTATTGTTAAGGGTATTGCATATAGGTTTTATATTTCATTATTACTTAAATTTCAAAATGGAAATAATATAAAATTATAAATTTTAATTTGGTTTAAATTGTATTGAAACAAAATTTAGACAAATCAATATGTCCCCTTAAAAATATAATTATCTATCGTGCTTTTACTTGGTGGATCTTACTCTAAAATATTTCAAAAACATAAAAAATCATTCCATGTATGTAGATGTGTTTTGTTCAAAGACATAATAATATAATAAAATATATAATATATATTAATATGTATATGATATATTGATATATTATGTGAGAGAGAGCTTTGGCTTCAACTTATGATTACAACGGCCCCCCTATATTACTCTGTGAGAGAGAGACAACGAACAGTGCGAGGTGCGACAATGCGCAGACATTGAGACCTATTACAACTCCATTGGACTGTGATAATTTTAGAATGCCTATGTTAAAACTTTTAAGTGTTAATAACACTAATACAGTAATACCACAGATTATATTTTATTATATAATCTGTGCTAATACCATGCTAATACAGCACCATAATTACAAGAATTAAAAAATTTAGAATTATGGTTGACATCGAGAGTGATAATGCTCCACGTAGGGTTGGGATTTTTTTTTTAACTCGCGGGACACAATTTTTTTAAATGTAATATTGTAAAAAGCGGGAATCGGAACAAAAAAAAAAAAAAATTGTAAATTGATTAGGTATCTTAGTATCTACAATAAAGTAAAATAATTATGAAAAATTATGGATATTCTTAAATTAATACTACTGATACAAATTAATAACAATATTATATAACAAATTCATAATACTGATATAAATGTATATAATAATAATATTTAATATAAAATAATTTAAAAAGTAGTTATAAAATCTAAAAACAAATCAATATTGTTTTAATGTTAGATGCTACAAATATTTTGTTCCAAGTAGTTGTAWAAAAATCGGGACTTTCTKGTCCCGCTGGCTTGTAAGACGGGACACGGGACAAAAATTTAAAAAACTCATAAAAATCGTGACATACGCGTCCCGCTAAAAATTGAAACGGGACGCGGAACAAGTATATTAAAAATCGGGAATGTCCCGCCAAATCGGGACGTATCCCAACCCTTGCTCCACGAAATACGAATTAAAATATCCAATATTGTTCTGTGCCAATATCCATCTTGATAGTCGACAGTTATCTTTCCGATAGTTGATGTTGTTGACCGTTGTCCCGTTGATGATATGATATTATAGTCTGTTATCGAAATATTTGAAATCATGTAACTGACCATGATACTATGATAGAAATGTAACTGACTTTACTTGGTATACTATACTGTCTGTACTGCATTATTGCCATTATTGGCATTATTGCACTTCTGTCATTTGAAAATTCTGAAAAGATTTATTAATTCAAAATTGTTGATTTGAAGATCGCAAATAATTTTAAACATTGATTTATTTTCATAATTTTTACTTCAAACAATATCGTTCTATAGTCCTGATTGTATAATTATAATGGATGATTTATGCTTCAAAATTGATATAGTCTTAAATGAGTGTTCTAAATATTTATGTATTACGGAGAAAAAAGAATTTGATGAATCATTTTATAAAATAATATTCAAAGTAAGTGGGAAATAGAATATTGTGTGTTCTAGTGTTTGAGTTAATTGTTATTAATACATAATTACAGGATTTAATAAATGGATCACTCCATCAATTTGTAAAATCTATACAAGTTTTTTTTAAAACATTCCAAAATAAAAATGTTTACATGCTTTGTGTATGTTTAAGTCAAATTCGAAAATGTCTCCTCCTGTACGAAACAACAATTTCAGAACAAAATTCTGTTCTAAACTTTGTAAAGGTATGTGTGATTTTGTTGTATGAATGTATAATTTTAATTTATTTTATATTTTATATTGATCTTAGTATAACTATAATTCATTCTTATTAGGTTTTAAGCAATTACATAATTAAGCGGATCCAAAAATGTTTTTATAAGTTGGAAGATTGTTTGGAAATGATAAATTTAACTGACATAGATGAGCATCCAGGAAAATTCATTGATCAAATGAATATTGTTTTAAATGCGTTAAACAATAGGGATAATTTTGAACTTATAAAGCCAAATATTGATAAAATCTTATTTCAAGCTATAACTATTGCTAAGGTTGCCGATACAGTAGACAACTTAGAAATCACATCTTCATCTAAACATGTAAAAATATTTATGATAATATAAATGTGTAATATTTTAACTATTAAATATTTTACTCATTATAAAAGGTTTTAAAAGCGATTCAACAATTTGAAAATATACATATCAATGAATCTGATAATTTTTTTCGATTTGATTATTTATCTTCTTCATTATCTATTCTAGAAAGAAGAATCAATACATCAGTATTGCATCTTATTTTTAAGGTATAGTAATATAATATTTAACTATAAAATAAATACTATAATTTTATTTATATTTTGTATTACTTACTAATCAATTAATAGTTGTTTTGTACATTATCAACATTTTAGATTTTTAATGATCCGTTTTTTACCATTAAAAAACTGATTAAAAAATGCAGAGATTCTGTTGACATTCAATTAAGAAATTCATCAGATTTATCTGATATGATTTGTGATTTGGATAAATATACTGATGCATTAATTCAAGTTGGATTATTTTCTGTGGCCTGTTGTAAAAATGATGAATGTAAGTTATAAATCAATAATGTATGCAGTGTTTAGTTGTACACTATTTTAAACAGTAAAGTTCTTGAAAAAATTATTTTTATATTCTTCAATAGCATGTTAGTTTTAATTTAAAGTTAAAGTTAAGATGAGCATAATAGTAGATAAATGTTTAACAGGATCTCCAGTACCACACATCTTTTCTTTCAAAAATTAAAACTGATAACAATAAAAGATGTAAGAAAATATTTTGAAAAAGTAAAAACTTTTTGAAATTGACAGAACTTTAATGACTAAATACTGATGCAAAGCTCTATGACTGACCCTAAATCAACTGTAATATTAATTTAATACAATTATTTTTAATAATTATAAATTTATTTAGATGTTATTCCATTAAAATCATGTATATCAAGCTTGGAATTATTGGACAGTGATATGGTACCAGCTATTATTGAGTTTTATTTAGATCCAACTTCATTAGTAAAAAAATCATTTTTAAAACTGCTTATAAACCATTGGGTTTGCGAAATTTGTGAAATACAAAATATTCTAGACAAAATTGTCGATCCATTTGCATTCATTCAAGTAATATTTTTAAACTTAAGTTTTTATGACTAATTTATAGTTATTATATTTATAATTAGACAACAATAGAAACTTCTATGAATTTTATTGACACTATCCATAACAGTGATCCAAATACCAACAGGGATTTGTATGTATATTTTTTAAATGGAATGATTAATTTTTCAAAGTTTATTGAAAAAATATTTGCTACTGCTCTTTTTGAAAATAAAGAACTTTCAACAACTTATGAACAGTTTAAAAATGGTAAAAAATTACTATAGATACATCTTTAGAAATCATATAATAATATAATGTTTTATTTCAGCTCTGAGAGAGTATAATGCATGTTTAATCTATAATCAAAAAACAAATCATAGTTTTAATGATTCAACTAAAAATAAATTGCTTAAAAGATGTGCAATTGTTATCAAATATTTGAAGAATATCCAAACTATAGCTTCTGATATATTGTTTGATAAAAGTTGTAAGTAGTATTGTAACTGGTTTTCAATTTTTTAACTTTTAACATTTTCTTATGAGTCGCAACAACTCGAAGTTTAAGGAGGATAAAAATTTGATTCGAGTCATGTTTTATTATTTATTCTTGATCTTAACTCAAATTTATCAAAATTAAGCTCTTAAAAAAAAAAAAGAATCAAGTTGTCAGGGTTTTTGAGTTATTGCGACGTGACAGTAAATTTCCTTTTCTAATATATTAATTAATTTTTCTCTTAGTGTCTGAATTAGAAAACACTCACTATATTTTATCTAAAACAAAACAATCCTCACTGAATTTGTTACAAAACGATAACCTAGATAATAATGATGATCTGAATTTGTTGCTTACAACTACTCAAGTTCAAAAATCGTTTTACAATAATTCAGAACGTAAAATTTTAAAAAAACTGTGTCATCAAGAGTATAATAGTTTATCCTTAGCTGATGAAACAACCTATGATAATATTGTAACTATGGATCTTACAAGTAAATATTTTAAAATGTATTGAATAATATTTAAAATAAGTATTAAGAATAATATTGTAACCGTATTATATTTGATAGATATTTTAGATAACTTTATCATTGAGTCATTCAATATTAATAAGGATAATAAAAATATAGTAAATATATGGGAAGAAATAGGTATTGACACTCCTACGAGAATACAAGATTTAGAAAATGTTGATGATAAGATTAAAAGTGTTAAGAAATGCTGTTGAGATCCTAAACTTAACTAGTTAGTTAACTATGTTATTTTTAATCAAATTGTTACAAATATGATTCAATTAAATAACTAATCAGTTGTTAAGTTTATCATCTAAAATTATAATACTTTATATTTTGTGTTAACTGTATAAGTTATTGACCAACATTGAGAACAGCTTTAATATAGTATTTTTTGTAATTTTGGCATAAAATATATTTTAAGTATTATTATTAAGTATATCATTTTATAGTATTTTCAGCATTTAATAAAGAAGCAAAAAATCAAATTTATCTTAATTAATATAAAAAATGCATAGATATTAAGATATTAATTAAATTTACATGTTTTTAATGCTTTTATTATGTTTTTGTAATATATCATAATTATGAATTACTATTAATAGTTTGAATTTTTGTAGAAGATAATTTAGATAATTTATATATAAGTGTTAAGTTCATGTATAAATTGGTTAAACAAAAGATAGCTGGAATATAGTAAGAGTATATAATAACGTTATAATAGTAAAGAAGCCGGATTAGAATGTTGATATTTGAGTGTTTTAAGATTAAAACATTTTCTATATTTATACTACAAAATATGCATTTTATGTATTTGCTAACTATGGGTTGAAGTTGAAGAATATCAAATCATCAGCCAAGAAAATCTGGATTTGGAAATGTACACCTAACTAGCTAATTCCTTAAAATTATACTTATTGCTTAATTTATTCTTCAATATTTTGTTTGATTTTGTTGTTTATTGGTTTTTGGCTTTTATTATTTAGATACTTTACTATTATAGATATACCCAGTTTTGAACAAATTGGGGGAGGTCCTAAAAAATTGGTTGGTATTATGTATATACCTTATATACCTTGATTTTCATTTATATATTCTTGGAGGCCAATAGTAGCAAACTTACTAATTTTTTTTAATTATGTGTACCTCTAACCTATACTTTTATTAGGCATTTGTGATAATTACATGACCTAATGGTTTACGGATAATATATTTGAATACTCAATAAACTTTTTTAAGTATCCCTAATAAAGTATTTAAAATACTTTATAGATTTTTGTTTTAAATATTAAACCAACCACTTGTATTTATCTACAGGTAAATATGAAATTAGTACTAACGTAATATATAATTTAAAAATTCTAAATAAAACTTAATTCAAGTTCATGATCAGGGATCGTAAGTTCATGCATCCGCATGTTTTTTCTGCTACACAGGAAAACCTGCTAACTGAGATACAAATCCGTTTCATAACAGTAGTAACAATAATATAAAGTTTAATAGTGCATGTTTTGGGTGTTAAGGCACATTTGGCATATAGTCGATTTTTTAGAGTTGTTAGTGCATATTATTTCATGAAAAAATTTTTTAGACAAATATTTGAAAAGTTTCTTGTTTCTTATTTATTTTCCCGTTTACAAAATGATAGTATTTCTATTTATTACCTATTATTCTCCTGTGACTACCTAGAATAGTCGAAGAAATCCAAGATACATTTACAAAATTAGAAGGAAATCACGGAATTGAAATTAAAAAAAAAACTAAAATATGTTTTGGACAAAAATATCGGGTACAACATAATTTGTAAAATTTCTAAAGTTTTGAGTGGCGAAGAAGACAATATTGCAAATTTAGATCTACCTGATGATATGACTGCAAACGATTTATTGTACTTCAAATATGCACCCCTTACTTCAGCAGATGTAGAAAGATCTTTTTCTATGCTCAAAAACTTATTGATAGACAATCGTCGATCTTTTAAGTTGGAAAACATAAAAAAAATGATAATAATACAGTGTAATTTCTTAAGTAAAACTAATTTTTATAAATATTATACTAATATACCTCAAAATGAAATACCTAATATTAAATTCCAAATTTTTTAATTGTAGGTGCAGAATAATGATGTACAAAAATTAGATAACAAAGATATATTATCATGAACTTCACAAGTACCTATTCATTTTTTTTTATTTTACTAATTAAATGTATAAAAATTAAAATTTATAAAACACTTTTATAATTAATGGATATATTCTAATTATTTTAAAATTTGCTCATGGTTTTTTACATAATGCATACTTTCAGTGCATAATTTAATAATTTTAGGGCATTTAAATGCATATTTTCGAACTTTTTAGTGTATATTTTGCTAATTTTTAGGGCATGAATGCATGCTTATTTATGCATTTTTCAGTGCATGATACTTGATATATTTTTTAAAGTACTTTTGGAAAAGTATTCCGAATACTGTTTTCAAAAAACTTTCCAACACACGTTTCGCCAGTAGGTAGTTTCATGTTTCATTATTAATTATGAAATATATATTTTGTAGATACATTGATATTAAACAGAGCTAGCCTCAACTATCTTTTAGCTTTAGCCGTAGGCCTACCCTTCCTATCATAATGATCATAATGATTCTCGAAACAAGGACATTAATTTTAATAAAATTAACTTGTCATTTTTGGCACCTGCTGCAATTCTGATAAAAATATTCTGGATTCTTTTTCCTGTAGCCCTATAAAACTCAATTAGTAGGAGGCTGAAACCAAATACTATAGATTAATATAGATTAATTAATTTACTAATCTACAGTATTTGCTGAAACTTCAACAATTATTACGGAACTGGATGGTGGATTCTGTAACGAATAAGAAGTTTGTAACACTTAATTTAAAACAATTTGGTGGGAGCCGGGAAGCGTTGGCACTGGAAGCACGGTTCTTCAATTCAATCAAAATCCATGAATATTGAAACATGAAAAACTGTAATAATAGTGTAAATTATTATTACTCAATCATGCAATACGCATGTCTTAAAAATCAGTGATCTTGCTTGATAGTTGATATTGCATTGAACATTTACAAGTTTACAATTGAATATTATAATATATATCATAGCCCTTAGGTGAATAATTTATTGAAAGAACGAAACTAAAATAGTACGTAAGTCATTGCAATTTATAAAACAAAGATGCTATAAATATAATGTTGGCGCCACTGTCATTGTGATATCGTGTTATAGCCGCATAACCTACTTTATTTTTATTCTCAAAAAGTTAAGAAAAATAGATAAATATATTCATGTGTGTATATATTTATATATATATTATATACATATATAAACACACTACATAGTAATTTTGTGTACATTTTGTTTTGCTAATTTTTCATAAGTTTTTATTAATTTTGATGAGTGAATTTTTATCGAATTATGTGTTATACATACATCCCTTAGGATACTGCCTCATACACTAAAAAAAATGTGTGAATGTGAGACATGTATAGAGTTTTCAAAGCTACTGAAACCTTGTATGTATTACAAATACCTCTTGAAACAAATTTATATTTGGTTAAATTTGTTATTTTTCTTACAGATAGAGATGCAAGTGCAAAGAATGACTTTAGTTGTGTAATTCTATCAAAGTCTGAAGTGAATCAATTGGTTGTTTTTGTTCAGGCTTTTATGCAAAGGTAAGCTAACGATTATAAAATATTGATACTACCCAACACTAATTTCTTAATTTTACAGACAATGTCTTGGAGGATTTCAAGATAGAAAAAACTATGAACAGTTTCAGTGGATTACACAATGTTTTGTTTTGTTAATGACTAATTTGTTAAAATCTTTTAAAGGACAAGATAATATTATCTACCCAGCTCGTGACGATGATGATGCTGAGAGTAGTCGAAAATGGGAAAATTTATTAGCGAATTTCAAAGACGAAGGTGAATAATATATTTATTTATTTATAATTCATACCCTGATAATATAAATTGTATTAATTTTGTTAGATAAATGTGTTATCTATTTTAATGCTATGAGTATTTTTTTCAAATTATTTTTTTAGAGTTGCAATGGACATTAGCAGAAATGGAAAAACCATTACATCTCATGACAAAAGTATTTTTGATGAATTTTCCATTATATGTGGCTGTAAAACAATACCCACATTACAAGACAGAAGAAGTAACTCAACAAGAAGTTTCAGCGATGAATCATTATTGCGATGTTCAAGAAATCGATATGCCATTATTACTTTTAAGAACTGTCAATATGTTTTGCCGGTAAGTTATTTAATTTAATTCTTGTAAATTATTTGTAAACCAAGAATCTTATTTATTTAGGGTTGGTGGTTTGGAAGCAATTATGTCTTGTTTTGATTATGAATCATTGCCATTATCTATTGCTAATCCAATTGTTATACTTGCTTGTAATGTAAAACTGTGGCTAAATTATCACACAAATGTTCATGTTTTTGTTCCACTGAGGTCAAAAGTTCTAAGATTTATGTGTAACTTATCTGATAAAGAATTAAGAACTCCTGCAGCTAAAACTATGGCTGGTAAATATATTAATTTTAAGTATCAAATGCAAATGAATTCATATAAAACCTTTTGTTGATTTTGTATTAAGATTTTATGTGGAGTTCAAACAAGGATGGTCATACTTCTAATTTAGATAAAGATGGTCTTGAATTAGCATTTAAGTATTTTACATCCCCAACATTAACAATGAGGCTAGCAGGAATATCTCAAATTAATAGCCATATAGGATCCTTAAATGAACTTGTTCATGTAACAGCAGCAACATTATCAACATCATCACAATCCAATGATATGGTGACTATCGAACAGATTGGACATAATTTAGCATCTTGGCTTGTACATCGAAAAATTATATCTCATGTGTTTGGTCCAAATTTACATGTTGAAGTATGTTTGTTAGAGACTTCCATATTAAATTTAAATTAAATTAATCAAAATGTAATTTTATTTAGGTAATTAAACAGTGTAGTATTACACTTAACTTTTTAGCATCAGAAGGTAAGATTACTAATGAACATATTGATACTATATGGCAAGCAGCACAGTTAAAACATTGTAGCAAACAAGTTTTTGATTTATTACCGGGTTTTATCAAACACTTAGAACCTGCTCCTGTTTTACATTTATATCATTTACTAAGAAAACTAGAACCAAAAGAGCACACTGAACAAGTAAATTTATACACAAAACTAATATAAATTAAAAAAATGTAATTCTATTTATGTTTTATAGAGCTTATTTTTAGCATCAGCTCTTACCAAATTCATTTGGTCAAGTATGGCAACTACAGCACGAACTCATGAATTTTCTATTCCAAAATTGTCAAGAATTGTAAGTATACGTGATGGCCGTAGAATAGTTCGTTCAAATGATATGAGTACATCAGAAAATAGTGCTAGCCTCAATAGCAATTCCGAGGGTGAATCAAGTGATGAACGAAGTGATATGAGTGATGGTCCGACTCCTAGAAAAAAACCTAAAAAAGAAAACATTTTTGCTTATTCCGATAATGGTAAACATTTTTAAGAAATATCAGGAATCTATTGTAATATATATATACATTTATTTTAGAATCATTAGTTCTAGAAGGAGCAAAAATTGAAGAATTAGATGACGATTTTGATATTAATGAAAAAGATATTATTAGACCATCAAAACCATTAGGTATGTGCAAAATAAGGCATTGTGTTAGGAAGAAAGCAATTAGGGATACAAGAATGCGAGTTATGAAACCATGTAACTCTAGTGATGAAGATTCAGATAAAGTTCAAATAAATCATTGTAAACTAGTAAAGGGAACCAAACTTCAAAAACCAAGAGGAAAAATTAATAACCGTAAATGAAATGTTTTTAATATTTTAATAATTATTATTTCTATGTAATTTTTTAATGTTTTAGACAAAAAAATACGAAATCTTAAAATGAGGTGCATTAGAACTGATTGTACTGAAGATGATTCTGAGTCTGATGGTGAAGAAGATGATGACGAGGAAGATGAAGATGAGGATGAAGATATTGAAGATGAAGATAGTGAATCAATGGAAGCTATGGAAATTGGTATATCACCCATTGATACTACTTCAGATCAGCAGGTACCATCTACACTTATGAATAGACAAATGCTAGAAGATTATAGTGGAGATGAGAACAGTATGTCATCTCGTATGTCAAATAAATCTGATAAAAATATGGCTGATTTTGATGGAGAAGATTCAGGATGTGATGAGGAATTGTTGCAACTTGCGGCACGTGCTCAGACTCATTTATCAACACAACAGTTAAACCATATGGCATTCCATTCTAATTTTCATACCAGTAAAAATGTGCATCCTTGTACTCAAAATATAACTACAACAATATCTAACCAGTTCAATATAGAAAATGTTTGTAAACCTGGTTCAACATTATTGTGGGATTTACTTCAAGATGATACTATTGTAAGTAATATAGAAAGTAGAAAATATTTTTTATTCATATATTTTTATATATGTMCTTTTTAATCATTAAATAATATGATTTCATAGTTAGAAAATGTACTTTTTTTAAATTTACTTTATGATTTTGATTGTTTTTTTTAAGTATACTTTTGATGCTTAATTCAAGTTGAAAATTTTTTTTCTGTAAATACCCAATATTATAAAAGAAGTTTGAAATAAATTTCAAAATAAAACTTTGAATTCAGTTCTTTAACTATATTCACAAGCTCCATTCTATTAATAATCTATTGAAAAAAAAAATTAATATTTGTAAATTCACCTTGACTTGTTTAGTACATTCATTGATTTATGTATGACATCTTATGAAATTTCCGATTAAAAAATTGTTTATTTTAATCAAACTTCAGTAAATATATAAAAAAAAATATGAAAATTATTTACTTTTCAAATCTGAACGAAATGAGGAATATATTGATTTTATAATGATGAATGATTTAATTTTTATGTTATCATCATGTTTTGGAATAGAAATAATACTTTGATTTTTGACTTCAGCCTCTCTTTGAAAAGAAAAACTCAGCTAGTTGATACTTTGGGTGGTCAAAAGTAAAAAATTTCCAGTACTTTTCAAGAATGTTAGGAAAACCTCTAAAAAAGTAATAATAAACCAGAATTTTTATGGATAATATATTTTTATTTTGCTGTAACTCAAAGATGAATTATTGTGAACTTTTGAAATTTTCACCAAAGGTTTATAAGGATGTATTATCTATTTTTGATTAAATTTTCAAAATATTTTGACATTTTAAGCTATTTATAAAGAAATTTTCGATTTTTCTGTTTTTTTTTTTGAAATGTCTAAAAAAATTGGCTACCTAAATTTTTTTTAAATTTAAGACAATTTTTATTATAAGTTTGTACCTTATCGTAGTAAAAAAAAAAATCAAAAATCATTAGTCACGATTTTTATTTAGAAGCAATTAAAGTTCAAATGTTTATGAAATATGTCAAAATGAAAATTTGGCATGGAATTATGGATTTTCAAAATCATAAAATTGTTGTGATTTATATCTAAGGTTAAAAAACGCAAGAAAATATTCTCCATAACTTTTTTTTCAAATAACTGTAAAACAAAACTCCTGAGTCAATATAAAAAACATTTTGTGGATGTATAAAATTTATATTTAAATATTGTGCGGGTATAAAACGTATTATAATTTTCTAAATAATAATTTATATATTATATATTATATCCTAAACTGACTAATCATCTCCGTTCACAATCATTTTTCATATACATTGATACTTGTCATTGCATTCAAATTTAACACTTTCATGATGGTGACCTACTCTTCATCTCTACTATACAACAGAGTGATACCCACTTGCCCACTTTTCTTATATGTTTATAAATGTGTATCATTAATTACATATATTTTATATTTTTTCAGACACTCTTAGGTGAATCATTAGCTTTGGAAGCAGAAAAAGCATTGTTTAATTTAGTATGCTTTAATACTGATCGTGCTATCAGAATGAAATTCATTGAAGGTTGTTTAGAAAATATACAAAAAAATAAGTATGTTTAAGCGTTTATAAACTTTTATAGTTATTAAAAATAAAACTTTAAAAATTAATTAGAGGAAATTATAGTGTTTGTATAAATTTAATGATATTACATGTTAATAATTAATACATTACAATTATTCTAAGTGTATATATTAAAATGAGTAATTCTAATTTTTCTCACTAAATTTTGATATCATATAATTTAGTTTTTGTATTTTTTTTTAGATCTGTAGTTATTTCACTAAGATTATTACCAAAGTTATTTGCATCGTTTCATCAATTTCGAGGAGCTTCATTAGCCAACCTTAATGTTGGAATGGATACTCGTCAAGTGACTCTTTGGGCTGTTAAACATCATAGTATGATTGATAGAGTATTTAGCAATTTTCGAGAATACTGTAAACAACATGCCGATAATTTGTTTGAAGATTCAGGATTTTACTCCCACCAAATTCATATAGAAGCTAGATTACAATTTTTGACTCATATTTATTCTTCAATTGGACTTCCAGATACTATTAAGTAAGTATTTATATATAATTTAATCAAGATTGATTTTTAATATGTTAAATTCTTAGGTTAACTATTGATGAACTGGATACATTATGGAATTGTTTGGTATCTGATGAAGTTTGTCGAGATGAATTATTTAATTGGTTATTACGTCAGGTCCGTTGTCGTGAACAACATACATTTAATGTTGAAACATTGACACATTTGTACTGTGAAAAATTGTTATCATTAGCTCCGGAAAGTTATACTATGACTGCTCTTAGTTTATTTACCCAGCTTTGTAATATGGCTCAACAACAAGTATCTAGTGATTATTTACTGTTAGCAAGAAATGGCCATGCAGCTGCAATGGAACACTTATCTAGAATTGCATTAAAAGCATCAAATAATGGTTAGTATAACAAATATTTAATAGTTAATTTGAGCTCAGACTTAATAATTAAAATGTGAAAACTACTTTTACATTAAATATATCGTAAAGATTAGGTTATGTAACATAATAATCATTTTAAATTTTGTGTTTTTAATGTTAGCAAAATTTTAAGTTTGAACACATTTATGTGTGTATAAATTATATAAAATATATAGAAATATAAGTAATGTAGACATTTCTTTGGTTACTATTAAAAATGTTTTAGTTTAAGATATAAATATTCATGGATAAACATTTTTGGAGAAGAAAATTCTGGGAAATAATGTTAATTAACCTGCTGATTCATTTAACATATTTTCAACTTTCAACTTTAAAACTTATTTCTTAATAATGAAATGTTTATTTTTCATACCAGTCATTGTGTATTTATATTATTAATGTCTCATCATGTTTATTAGTTAGAAAATATAATTGATGTATTGATTATTAAATCAATTTGATTTTAGATGTTAGCATGGCTGCAATACAGTATATAAATAATTATTATATGATGAATTTACAACTTGAAAAAGAAGACAAGTTTATAAGTGAGTGTGTATCAAATTTGTCAGTAGCTGCCGATACTTTGAATGATAAAGAAGAATCCAGTCTTCTTTATATACAACGAGCTCTGTTACTATTAAAAACTCATTTAGAAACATTTAAGAGAAAGTATGCTTATCATTTAAGAAAATGGACCTTAGAAGGGCATGGTATTATGAGTCATGTAATTCAAAATGATAAAAACGCAGCAACAATCAGATTAAATATCAGTCCTGCCATGTTAGATGAAAAGTTAACTCTTGATATGCCTAGTACAGATTACATAGCTGATATGAGAGCTGAAATAGCTCATTGGTGGGAAAGTCAAAATGATAATTTAGCTGTTCAAAAATTACCTACAGATGGTAATATACGCATGATTGCATTAGGCCAAGAAATAACATCAGATTTTGATGAAAAAACTATTCAAGAAACTGGATTAAAAGATAACCAAGTAAATAATTTTGAAGTAATCTTGGTGACATGTAATTTTTTGAAATTTTTATTTTAGATAATATACTTATCATTAAGTACTACTCGTAAGAAGAAACTCGGTGACCAAGATTTACCAGGATCTGCACAATTTGTACCAACCAAAGAAAGTTCTCCAACATTATTGCTTTTACGACCTAAAAACTTTGAAGTATTGTTTGATCTCATGCATACTCTTGGATCAATGAAAACAATTGACGAAGAAGAAGTAATTATTTAATATTCTTAATTAAAAAATAAAAGATATAAAATGGGTTTTTATAGTTTTAAAAATAGTCATGTAAAACATTTAATATATAATTTAAAAAAATAAATACAATATTAAATTTAGACAAGCTAAATTATATATTGATAGATTAGGAAAGTTTACTAGCATGCTTAATTCTCTGTTTCTATATGAGTATTTTAATACACAATAAATAAACTATAATTCTATATATACATTAACAACCTTTATATTCGTGTACCTATTTTTTAATATAATCTAGTATGGATTTGCATAGAATAGAACTGTTAACAAACTATTTATTTGTTAATTTAATTTAATAATTAATAATTAATAAATTTTAAATTTGAATTTAATTATTGTTATGTATAGAATGAATTACTACATGGAAAAGCTCAAGTTTTATCAAGAAGTGTTTGGGATATTTTGACTATGCTTCCAACTAGTCCCTCAATGTTAGAGTGTTTCAAACACTTTCCAACTCATGAATCAAAAGATAAATGTCAAGTTTGGTTAAAAAAAGATTTAGATCCATCAAATTTACAAAAATTAATGTATTCATTATACATTGTTGAATCATTAGTTGAGGTAGGTGTAGAGAAAAATTCAGATGAAGATGAAATATTGCTAGAGGTATGTTTAAATCATAAAAAATATTATTCACCTTTTTAAGAAATCATGTTATTATAAAAATCTTTATACTTAATTTATAGGTATCAACTAATGGATTATCAAGTTCTTGGGGAGAATATTTCATTGAAAAGGGTGGTTTAGAACATCTTTTTACTATTTTGCTGTCTGGTAAGTTGTAAAAACTAATAAAAACTAAATATAACAATTTTTTATTAAAAAACAATCTGTATCTTAAAATTAATTACAAAAATTTTTTAGGTACACTTCAGGGTAACAGTGAATGGCATCAAGATTGCTTGGCTCATTTACTTAAATTACTCTGTCAACTTGGTGTGTCACCAAATGATAGACGACAATTAGATCAATTTGAAGGACTAGGTTTTGATCCTTATTTTCGACCAAGAAAATCACACATTAAAAAACAAGCTAACCTTGTTGTGCCAAAACTTAACAAAGTAAATTTTTCAATTTTTTTTATAAAATATTATTTTTTATTTTACTTAATTTTAATTTTAGGAAATGTTAAAACTTATGAAGATAGATTTGGTTATACCTAGATTGATGAGTATTTTAAATGAGTTATCATATCCTGGACACCCAAAAGATATAAAAACCGGTTTTTGGGGTCGAGCCCAAGTTATTCATTTCTTAATGACTTTAGTTTTGTCATGGTCGCATAGCGTTAATGGTATTTGTGAAGCACTTTTAGAATCTAATCAGTTCTCCATGTGGCTTTGCAATCTTGTCCTTGAAGATCCAGATCCATTAGTTAGACATGAAATATGTGTTGCATTATATCGACTTTGTGCTGTACCTCCCGCAAATCGTACTGCTGCTACATTACTTTTATCCCAGTTAATCAAGTTCCTAGATAAGGCTGAATGCATGCAACCACAAAATATAAGAAATGAAGTTAGTAAATTTAAGTCATTTGTTAAAAATGTTGTTATATTTAATTATATTGAATTTTAGAATTCAATGAGGATAACTGATGAAGATAAACTTAATTATGGACCAGCTTGCCGAGATTATTTTTGGCTTATGTGTCGACTTGTTAATTGCTTACCAAATGACATCATTCAAGGTAAATGTGTTAAAATATTTAAATTTGAATAAATTTGTAATCTATATTTTATTATTTTAGAAAGTATTAAATTTCCACCAAAATGTATTATTGATATTGAAGCATTGGCTATACGTGTTTGGGAGTCAATTGCATCTAGAGATTTTATTGAAACACATTATAGTGGCCTTCAAGATGATGGTTTGATTGGACTCTTAAATTTAATGTCAAATATACTAGGGCATAAACCTCCTTTTAAATTTAGTACACAGAGTCATAAAGTTTTGGACACAGTATGTATTAAAAAAAAATATATTAAAAATTCAAAAATTTAAATGATTGGCTTTTTATTTTAAAATTTTAGGTTTTTGAGTTTTTGTTTGCTTTACCTGATCCTCAGAATCGACAGTTACCCAAATGTAAATCTGAAAGTGCTCGATCTTCAGCTTATGATTTGTTAGTTGAATTAGTAAAAGAAACTCCTCAAAACTATGAATATTTATACAAAAAATTATTAGAACAACACAGTAATGGTAAATATTTTAAAGGCAATTATGTACACATATTAACTTTTACTAATATTTTTGTAGATTTGAATCGCCTTCCATATTTATGGGATTATTGGCCTCATGATGATGGTCGGTCTAATTGTGGATATGTTGGTTTAACAAATCTTGGTGCTACTTGTTATATGGCTTCCTGTATGCAGCATTTATTTATGATGCCACAAGCAAGACGATCAATACTTGAAGCAAAATGTGATGAGTCCAATAAACATGCATCTATATTGGTTGAGCTTAAGCGAATGTTTGCTTATTTATTGGTATGATTAATTTAATAATAAATATTATATTTAATTTTAAGGACAATATTAGTATGTTATATGTTATACCTTATTGAACCATTAGAATGTTTAAAAAATGCTCACTCCAATGATAAGGCTTCTAGGTGTATAATACAGTGATATTTATTTAAATTTCTATTCAAAAACTCCTCTAATAGTGTTACACAATCAATATTTTTACCTATCATACGTGGAGAACCGTCTGTGCATACACTTTCAAGTTTTATCCTGTTTAAATCGTCACTTTTTCACAAAAATGTTTCAACACAACATTTTAGTTTATTAAATATATCTGTACCTTTTATCAATGTTTCGAGTACTTCAAGTCCTAAAAGTTCTTCCGTCACTTCAAACTTAGAATTCACACTTCCAATAAATATACTTCATTGTGGATTGTCAGTAATATCACAGCTTTCATCAAGCGCAAGAGTAAAATATTTAGAATTAGTAGTACTACATGAAATTTGTTTTGAAATATCTGAGGAAATTTCGTCAATTCATTTCATAATTGTATTACGTGATAAAGAAATGTAATTTACATATGCAGACATTTTTGAATCATTTGCATTTGTTGCAAAAATATTGAAACTTTTTTTAATGATTTCGACATCAGAATAAAGTTTCCACACTTGGCTAGCAAAAATGCGATTTCATAAGACGTTAACACCATGTCTTATTTTTCATTTGATTGTTTAGTAAAAATTGATTGCTGAGTTAACAATGAATTAGTCTCCTTTTTAATATATTCTGTCCTCTTTATAGAACCCTCGGGGTATTTTTCAATAATATCATTGTAATTATTATAGTGCAGTTGAACATTGAACTGTTTTGGAACTGCAATTACAGAGTTACATACTAAACATGTAGGTCTAGATTTTTTCCCTTCTATACATAAAAATTTTTCTATCCATTCTGTATTAAAATTTCGCGAAGAAATATCATCATTATAACTTCGTTTTATGCCTGGTTTTAAACTTACGCCTGGTTTATTAGATGCCATTTCACGATCACCCACATACACAACGACACAAACTACTTGTTAACGCATGGGCACGGCGATTCTAATACGACTAACTTTATTGTAGTAATCTAGTACACATTTACCATAAGAATTCTCGTATCGGAATAATAATCGGAAAATTCCACTGCAATAAAATAATCTAATTAAATAATATTTATTTTTAAAAATTATATATTATTTTATTTGACTCTAGTGTGCCATTCAATAACAACAAATGTGCCACAAATGACACGCGTGCCGCAGTTTGGCCATCCCTGACCTATCTGTTAACTAACGATTACTTCCGCACAACTTGGATGATCTAGTCCAGGTCCAAAAATCTAGCCACCCAGGAATCGAATCCAAGTCTTTTACTTGCCGGCGATTGCTCTTACACTTAGCTACCCGACCGCATAGACCCATGACGCTATATCCCCAAGTTAACAGATGTTTATATAATCTTAAATTTTATTTTTTATCTGATTTTTATTTTTATTTTGAAGACTACAGAGAACCAAAATTTTTGTTCAGTGGTTATTATTTTATTTTTAATATTTTATTTAGAAAGCAATTTGTTATTGTTAGTGTTTTTTGAGATACCCTTAATATCTTCTTATATTTCAAGTTACAAGACGGTTAACAGCTACCATTTTAATCCTTTTATAATTTTCATATATGTGTCTCCTTTCCTAAAATAATTTTATTTAGTGACAACATTAAATATTTCACAAATTAAATTTGCTCTAGATCAACGGTAGGCAACTGTCAGACCGCGGTCCGAATCCGGACCTTGGAACGCAGAAAGCCTCCGGATCGTTGACATGTCTTAACAATTTTTCTTCATATTACTATTATAAAAATATAAAGATTTGGCAAACATTTTTTTCACTGGACCTCATTTATTTATTATTTTAATCTTCCGGACTCCAACAGAAATTACTTGCCGACCCCTGTTCTAGATTTTCCACCCATCAGATTTGATGCCATCTTTGTTATTTGATTCAGTATAAAACGTCATTCTTTGCATCAGCAAATGTCATATAATTCTTCCAGGAATCATTCTCCTTTAAAACACGTTTAATCCTTAGACTATTTATATATCATCAGACATCTATATAATTGTATGCCTTAATACTTTTAAACACCATATCAATCAGAAATGTCCCAAAGTATCTAGGATCCATAAAGCATATGATTATGCTACCTGTCTATACTATTTGTTACAGTACTATAGATATTAGAGTATGTAGTTGTCATTTGACTAGTGTGCAGCTAACTCAAAATCACTATCTTTTCTTAGCAGCTAATTAGAAATCATCATCTACTTCATGACTGTGTTTTTACCTAAACAGAACTTGATATTCCTCCACTAACATCTTGCTGTGTTAAATCAGATTTTGTATTATTCTTTTCCTTTCTTAATGGTACCCTCGATGCCTCCAACTTACTAGCCTCTTAGTCAATTAAAAATTATAAAACCTAAGCAGTTTGAAAAGTTTTTATTGGAAATAAAATATAAATAAACATTTAGAGTTGAACTATTATATTATTTTCTTTTAGGAAAGCGAAAGAAAAACTTACAATCCTCGTAGCTTTTGCAAAGTTTATACAATGGATCAACAACTATTGAACACTGGTGAGCAGAAGGATATGGCTGAATTTTTTATTGATCTTGTATCTAAGCTAGAAGAGATGACACCTGAATTAAAAACGCTTGTTAAAACCCTATTTGGGGGTGTAATTAGTAATAATGTTGTTTCATTGGTTAGTATGATTAAGATACATTTTTATATTATTGATAGTAAATTTTACAAAAGTTACATAGTTTGTACTAAAATTTAAGCGAAGTTAATACTACATAAGTATATCAATTATATATGTATTTCAAATAATYGGTATTTTTCTCCTCCTTAGGTAATCTACAAATTTTTCTCTAAATTATAAAATATTAAACATCATGTATAAATAATTTTTTAAGAGGTGTTTCACTCTTCCATATTCATAACATAATTCATACAAATACCCATAGGGGTGGAGTGGCCGAGCGGACTAAGACGTTTGTTGCGATTCATGCAGTCGCTGGTTCGAATCTCGGTTGCGGGCGGCATCGCTCTTTGTGCATTTCGCGATGTCTGGAGAGAGAGGCCGCCGCCCCCAAACCGGGCATGGCAGAAACCTACCTACTTAGCCTACTAATGGGTGCCCATTCAAAATTCTGCCAAAAAAAAACCCACATGTTAAAAACCAGTACAGTACCTTCCCTTACAGTTCCCCAGGCTAATGACCTCAGTTGTCAAAACCTTAATCCTAATAAAAAAAAAAAAAAAACAAATACCCATAAATTGCTTTAAAATTAAAATATAAAAAAAAACTTATTTTATCCACCTGATAATATTCTTATTTCTATGTTTACTAATGGGTCAATTCGCACTAAAATTAAATATGACAGAATTAAATGAATTATTCAGAAATACAATGTGTTTGTAACACAGTTACAATGCATTAGAGTATAACAACTTAACATTAGTTTATTTATAATTTATTTTTATTGTTATTTTAATTAAAATTTTTAAATATAAAAAATAAACAGTAAAAACTTTTCATTATACAAAAAACATTTTCTTTTTACATAATCTTCTATAAAATAATTTCTTTGTTGTTACACATTTACCATCTTTTTGCAAAAATATAATTTATATATAATTAGCTAGTAATAAATAAATAAATGTAGATAGTAAATTAATTTTAACTAATTTTAAAAAAAGATTAATATTTTGATATTCAATTTGAAACATTTAGGATTGTGATCATGTAAGTAGAACTTTAGAAGAGTTTTATACTGTAAGATGTCAAGTTGCTGATATGAGAAATTTATACGAGTCTCTCGATGAAGTTACATTAAAAGATACATTAGATGGAGATAATATGTATACATGTTCTCAGTGTGAGAAGAAAGTTCGTGCAGAAAAAAGGTAATTAAAGTTTTTAAATGTCACTTTTTTAAAAATATTTAATGCATTTTAAATTTCAGGGCTTGTTTCAAAAAATTACCACAAATTCTTTGTTTTAATACAATGAGATATACATTTAACATGGTGACTATGATGAAAGAAAAAGTGAATACCCACTTTTCTTTTCCAATGATACTTGACATGTCTGGGTATGTTGAAAAACATTTGATGCCCCAGCATTATCTTGAAGAAAAAGAAATGAGTGAAAATAAAGGAACAGAGCGATTGGAAGAAAATTATCAATATGAACTTATTGGTGTCACAGTTCATACAGGGACAGCAGATGGTGGTCATTATTATAGTTTTATACGAAATCGAGAACGTACTAATAAGTCTCAAACTCCAAGTACTGATCAATGGTATTTATTTAATGATGCAGAAGTTAAATTGTTTGATGCTAGCCAATTAGCAGCTGAATGCTTTGGTGGAGAAATGACAGTAATATATATTTAAATTTACATTATTTGCCGTTTAGATGTTAAACTCATTTTTCATTTCAGAGTAAAACCTATGATTCTGTAACAGACAAGTACATGGACTTGAGTTTCGAAAAAACAAACAGTGCTTATATGTTGTTTTATGAACTTGTCAAGCCAACTGATCCAGAAATTGAAGAACATAATATTTCTAACGACATAGAAATATGTCCACCAATAAAATTGAGTAGTGAATTAGAAGGATGGATTTGGAGAGATAATAGACAATTTTTACAAGATAAAAATATATTTGAAAGTGCTTATTTTCAGTAAGTTGTATAATTTTTTACTTAGCAAATTATGATTATGATCAATATTTATTAAATTTATTTCTTAGATTCATGTGGCAAATATGTGCGTTTATTCCTCAATCTTTAGAAGATACGGAGGAACTAGCAGAACTTGCTACAAAATTAACTTCAGCCTTTTTTTTGGAAACTTATATACATGCTAAAGAACGAGTAAGTGTTTTTTTATTTTTAATGAATATTTTGTTTAATTTTCATAATATTCTATTGAATCTTTAATTTTTAGTCTACTATAATGCAATGGACAGAATTGTTAACTAAGCAGTTCAGTGCTTCACAATCTGGTTCTGAATGGTTTCTACAACAAATGAGTGTTGATGGATGGTGGCCACTTAAAATTTTTATTAAATGTCCAAATCAAATAATACGACAGACATTTCTTAAGTTATGTATGCATGTTATCCAACAAATTAGGTAATAAACATTTATAAAAATAGATTTAAATTTTTAAGTAGAGCACAAATTTGTATACAACTGCATATTTTTAGTTTTTCGTTTATAATCTTTATAAATTTATAGAATCATATTAATGATAAATTTTATTAAATTAATTATTCATTATTATTATTATTTAATTCATTTACAAAATTTTGTTTTATATATTTTTGCATTGCTTACCATAATKACATATTGTTATAAAATTGCATGTTAATCACATACTATTTCAATGAAATTTACGTAAAAAAGTCCAACCCAGTTGTTGGGTGGATAAATAATTCACCAGTTATCACAGTTCACATTTAGAATATTTGATATAATATTAAAATGTTAATGAATTCTTAATTTTTTTCTAACTGGAATAAAATAATGTATGTTATACCTGGTCTTAAGAGGACGTCGCACCCACATGTGTTGTCTTCGTCTTACACACGTACGACCTAGCAAATTATCGTTTGCTAGTTTCAATAGGGTATTGTCAGTTTTGATATTAGAGTGAATCCACCTATTATCAAACTTTTAGGTAGCAACATTATCTGTGTTCTCTCGTTGGTTTTTTACGATATTTTAATTTTTAAGTGAGTTATGAACATTTTAAAATATTCATAATTTACATACCCATAACTGACTTAAAAATTAAAATATCATAAAAAACCAACGATAGAACACTGATAATGTTGCTACCTAAAAGTTTGATAATAGGTGGATTTACTCTTATATTAAAACTGACAATACCCTATTGAAACTAGCGAACGAACATTTCCTATGTCATACGTGTGTAAGACGGAGACAACACATGTGGGTGCGACGTCCTCTTAAACTTATAAGGCAGAGGTTCAAACTGTGCGTTGCGTCTCCCAGGGGCGTCGCGAGAGTTTGCAAAGGGAGCCGCGTCAAAGCACAGAAAACCAACATCATAGATCTTGTATAATTATTATAAATATTATTTGCAATCATTATGGAAATAAAAACGACACACCTTACTATCCGACCATTTGAAGTTTTATTTCTAGTGCTAAAGTCATTGTTATTATATCACCCGCATATAACATATTTCCCATATTGTATCCGTTGTTATTTCAATTTTTTCATAATAATTTGGGAGCCGTAAAAATATTGTGAACACCCAAAGGAGCCGCGTGCTGAAAAAGTTTGAATATCTCTGTTATAAGGGAAAACTTTAAAAACAAAATGAAATTTTTTAGTATTATATATGTGTTATCATTAACTTGTTGAATTATAAATGAAAACCTCTATAAATATTAAGTTCATTTAAATTTGCTCTAACAACTTTAGTTAATGTTGAATGACCATTTAAATTTATTTATTTGCTTTATTTTAGGCCATATGTTTGTTTTTTCAATAATTCTTTTATGAATGATGATAAAAGTGAATATATGAAACCATGTGTATCATGTCTAACTTCATTTATCCGTACAGTAGTGTCTTTAGTAAGTATTTTTATAATTTCTGGACCAAAGTTAAAATAATTTTTACACTGAATTACATTTTCTTATTATAGATGGAACAAAATATAAAAAATTGTATTCGTAATATGACTGAATATTTTGCGATGTTACATGAATTTAGTAAATTAGGAGATGAAGAAAGTAAATTTCTCATAGCTATTCAATGTATTACGACAGTTGTAAACTTTTACTTGGGATTAAAAGGACATGAATTTGTAAGTAGATATTATTATTTATAAGGCATATTAATTAATGTTTTTTAATTCATAGAGTGAAAATCCTAATAATATTAATGGAGGTGACTGTGAAGAAGAAGAAGAAGATATAATTCCAATATCAACTGCAGATCGAAACAAGCCACCTTTATCTCTTGAAAAATTAATTGCTCTTGTTGTTTCATTGGTTGAAAAATCCAGAAATATTAGTGGTCAATTAGAGTTATCAGATAATGATTTGTATGTTCTACAAGGAATGAAGGTAACTTTTAGTGTTCAATTATTTATATAACATAGGATCATCCAATTGTTGTGATAAAAATATTGGGTATCACAAAAGAATATACATAATACCCAATATTTTTATAACCCAACATTTGGAAGAACTTTGATATTTTCAAACCACAGACTAAGATATAGAAAAGAGGATACAGTCAAACCAATACAATTTTTTGAATTGAAATCTTGAAGAGTATAATATAATTTGTAAATCATTTTTGATCAACTGTTTTATTCACTTTTTATTTTTTTGAATTTTTTATAAATTTATCAAAACAAGAGAAATTTAATGTATTACTTGTAAATAAATGATTAACGATTATATTATACAACCACAGTGTTTATACACAACATTGTTTTATTACACCACTGTTCATAGTGTTCCGTTTTTCACTGACCAGTCCTAACCACATAAACGGACTGTCTATTTATATTCTTCTGTATTTTAGTTTGTGTTACATTTGTGTATCTCATATTTATCTAATAAATTATATTTATATACATATTTTTTTTTAGGGTTTCCCATTCATAATTCAACAAATTAAAGATAATACAAATTTACATATGACTAAGAATCTTATATTTTCTCTTTGTCGGAATGATTCACCACAAAAGAATGCTTTACTTGCCAATGAAATAATCAGCCAAATATTAAATGTTATACAGAAAAATGTTAATAATTCTGAAGTAAAATATTTTTTTATATTAATTTAAGTATAAATATTAAATAAAATAATTAATGTTTTTACTTTAGATTACACAGCCATTTTTCAAAATGTTAACTTTACTATCTGAAGGTAGTGTCAATGGTAACGGTGGATTACCATCTTTTACTGAATTTATACTAAGGCTTTTGTGGCAGTCTACTGAAAATGGGCCTCAAGTAGCATTAGAATGGCTTGGTCTCCAAGTGCCTCGTAATAAGCAGGTATCTGCTTGGGTTCTTAATGGTATGGACACATGGGTTGAACGATTTTTACTATCACATGGAAATGCAAGAGTTCGCTCAGGTAAACATATTGCTTCTAAGTTTTTCATTTATTAATTATGATATGTTGACCTTACAACTCCTGTATGMTAATGTCAAAAAAAAAAAAATAATTATGATAATAGTATTTGATCTATTCAATTTTAATATTTTGCATACAAAATTACTATGGAATATATTATATATTTAAAAAAACTTTTATGTAATTAAATAGAAGTAGATATTGGAAAAAAAGAAGCTTATTTATTTATTAAATTTGTTATGTTACTTTTAAGAATCATTTTGTACAGAAKTATTCAAAAGTTAATAAATCACTGGAATTAAAAAAATTAGACATTTGTTCTATTAATCATCAAACTTTTAACAAGAATAATTAGTATGATCTAGAAGGACTAATATCCTCATATTCCTTCAGTGAAAACAGTATTTAGAGCAATTGGTATAAAACCAAAATTGATTGGAGATCTTCAACTTTTTAACTAAATTAATCAAATTCTAGATTTTTTTTTTAGTTTTTAGTCATTGAGACCATACTGCCAAACAGATTTCTCTCCAATCATCTTTACCTTCTACCTTTCCTTTCCATGGTATCTCTGGTTTGATACTTCCTACGTCTCTTTTCACGCAGTCTTCCCAATGTATGCATGGTTTTCCTAGACGGTCTTTTACCAATCAGGTTCTCTCTTCAATCGTTGTTTTGATTATAGATCTCATTAATTAAATCCTAGATAGAATGATTGGAATATCTAATTGATAACTCACATAAACTATTACTAAATTATTTTAACACAGATATAACTAAATTAGCAATTATTAATTGAAATTTACATTTTAGCTGCCAGTATGTTATTAGTATCATTGGTTCCAAATACTCAATTTCGACAAGCATATAGATCAGCAAGGGGTATGTGTACATTACAAAAAGAAGTTTTACTAGCTTCAGATGCAAAGGAAACACTGCATGAAATATTCAAATTTCTATTAAATCTCTTGAAAATGGCTAAAGAGTATACAGATACAACTCAACACGGATCATCTAAACTAACTGCCTACTTTGTTTTGCTCAATTATTTTTTGATATCAAGAACAGAAAAATTGATGGTAAGCATTTTTTATTTTTATTTATCAAGATATTGCAAATTATTGTGACAATATAAAAATTGGAATATAGTTAAATGTCCAGTTCTAAAATTTGAGCTGTATGAGGAATATAATGGTGATACAGTATGTCCCATGAGGATTTACCCATTACGATGTCTCCTGAGATGATAAATTGATCATAAATCTGTTTTTTTTTATTAGAATCACATAAACAAGGGCTAAATACATTTTATTTGTTGGTAAAAAAGTTAAAAAACTATCTTTTATTTTTTTAATTTTTGATCAAAATAATGATACCTGTTTTATAGAGTTTATTTTGCTGAAAATGTTGACCTTTTAGCATTTTATTTTCATTAATCTTATAATTTTCATCCTATATGTTGGTAATACTATGTATTTTATTTTGTAATTTGTCACATTTTGAAGCCTTKGTGTATGCCAAACAATATTGATGTTGGTTTCCATTTGAGTTTGTTATATACGTTTCAGAAAGTAATGATTCTTTACTTAATACACCTTTTCGCAGAATTTTTCTTAGTAAACATAATTTATCATTGAATTAAAATTTAACACATCTATTAGTCCTTAGTTCATTATGACTTAAATAGGTGTTATACTCATTAAATAGTTTTTTTTTACACAGAAAATTTGAAAATAGTTATTTTTAATATCAAATAAATGTTAATAACTAATGTTGATTTATTTACCTAAATTATAAATTAAAATATTGATACATTAAACATTTTCAGTTTGGACCACATTTAGTTGAACTTTGGCAATTATTTCATCCTAAACTTTCTGAACCAGCTATTTCAGTACATCATAACAAACAAAGCTTATTGATGTTATTCTATAATGTTTTGTCTGACTGTATTGAAAATGTGCAAATACTTGTTCAGGATCCATACTTTGTGAAAAATATAGCATTCAATTATATTTTGTAAGTTATTTAAATAAAAATGTACAATATAGCAATAGTAAGGTTCATTATGTTATGTGGACTTTTTAGAGCTGATCATGATGACCAAGAAGTGGTAATTTTCAATCGGACTATGTTACCAGCATATTATGGTCTATTAAGAATATGCTGCCAACATTCTAGAATATTTACTAGACAATTAGCTGGGCATCAAAATATAAGTTGGGCTTTTAAGAACATTTCTCCTCACCCTACTCAATATGCAGCTGTAAGATAATTACTAATTATGATTTTTTTTTAAACTATACTTTTATTTATTCAATTATTTAGGCTGTTGATGAGTTGTTTAAACTATTACAACTTTTTATTAAAAAATTTCCGGATTCAACTGATCAAGAAATAGCTGAAATAAACCAATACAGAAAAGAAACAATACATTTATATGTTTCAAACTTAGATGGAAAAGCTGGCTGGGGCACTTTAATTCCAGTTGCCAAAATTCTATTGGAAAATGATGAAGATAAATTATATTTTATTCATAATCGTGGTTTAGAAATGTGTTTTGAAGTAATAATTTGATTTTCTAGCTAGTAATTAAATACCTTTATTATTTATTTAATTATTGATTGGTATTTTAGGGTTTTCAAACATTACACAATATGTACCATGAAGCTACTGCTTGCCACGTAACTGGTGACCTAATTGATATGCTTGCTTTAATTGTTGATATCACAAAGTGTTTACAAAAGACTCACGAACAGAACAAATTGGCTGAGAAAGAAACTCCACGTACTATAATATTGACATATAAAGAATGGCCTGATTTGTTAAGAAAATTGGTTACGTTACTCAATACATACAATCCTAAAGAAATGAGACAATCAGTATTAGGTAATATTAATTAGCAATTACTCAATATTTATTTACTTATTTGGTTTTATTAAATTCAATAAAAAAATTCAAAATCTTGAAATACTTAGTTTAATAGTAGATAATAAAATGTTTGTTCTAATATACAAGGTGTAACAGAAAGAACTGACTTTTGGAATAACTTTTGTTGTAATTAATATTTATAACTTTTTTTTTTATTTATAATTAAAAGACGCTAAGGCTATATGCAAAATTGATTTATTTTTATGTTAATTTTTTAGTTTGTATTGAAAATAAAAAATTTAAAATTTAATTTAATTTTTTTTAGATAAATTCAAAATAGCTAATTTGTAAATCTGATTATAAAAATAATTTTGATGGTAAAAAGATTTATCTTAGTCAAATAGTTTTTTAGAATTTTTTTAAATATCAATATTTTTTTGATAAAATTAATTTGGCACCTAATAACTTTTTAAAAAATATGATTTTTCGGAATATTCTGAAATGAGAAAATTTCTTAAATTATTTAATCATTATATAATATTAAAAAAAAATTTCATTGGTTTAATTAGTATATTTTTTATTTTATTTTTAGTAAGTTCTTTCTGTTACACCCTTTATATACATAATTTTATTTCTGTCAGAAATATTTTTAGAATTAAATGGTTATAAATACAATGAACTCCAGGTTTAGTTATTAGTTATTACATTGGTGAAGATTTGTTTTGATTCCATTAAGCAACATTTTACTAAATCAAATTTACTTTACTTTCTTTCCCATGACTGTGTCTTATGACAACTTACTGTAATATCAAAAGAACGAAATAAAAATTACTTTTGTTAAATTCTGTTTTTTTTTTTTTAGATCTGCTAAAAGTACTTGTTGTATTAATGCCAATTGAAGTTATTAATGTACTTCAACCAATATTGACACATTGTCATGCTGTTTGTATGGACAGCAATAATGGTATGCCCATTGGTCCATATTTTCCTCGTCGCGGACATAAAGTTCCAATGCTTAGTTTGAAATCAAATACTAGGCCTGCTAGACCCATGGTTCAAATGGCTTTAACACATAACCAATTAGACATAACTAAAGTAAGAATAAAAATTAATTAGAAATTAAAACGAATAAAAAAAAAAATTAAATATATATCTTTCAGTAAGTATGCTAATTGTTTTAATTATTTTAGGGCTGTGATTCTCATTACGATGCAGAATTATCTGCATTTTATGCTCCATATCACGATTTCATTGATGTGATGTGCCGTACTGCTGTTAATAATGACTGTTTGACTGAACCTCTAGTAGCACTTAATGCAATGATTGGATATGAATCTATTCCATTGCATCATACTTATTTTCCAAAGTTTTGGCTCGATGTGCATAATATGAATGTAAGTATAAACTTAATAGATAAAACAATTTTAATGATTTTTTAAATTCAATATGATTGTATTTTTAGGGGTCTAACTTACCATACTTAAGATTGTTATCCAAAAATAATTACTTTGTGGATTATTTGGAGTCTACACTTATTGAAGAACGTCTGAGTTTGAATAATGATGTTATATATGATTTTGTTAGAACTTTTTTTCCTGAGGTAATTTATAAACAGTTATAACAATTCACTATTGTTTTGAAAATATATTTATATAATTTTTTTTTACAATTTTAACAGATGGCTGCTAGTGTACTATCACATCACACTTTTGAATTATTGGAAAGTGTTATATTTAATTTGCCAAATGACTTGGAAAAATTGGGTGAATTAGAAACTGAAAAAAGGATGCTATCTAATCTAAGAGCTTTGAGAGTTTGCTCTTTAGTTAAACCTCCTGTGCAAGAACTTAAGGTAGTCTTAAGCAATATTAAAACGGAAGCTCAAAAACTATTGGACAAAATCTGTCCTTCATCGTCAGGTAATCAAATATATTTTATTATATTTTATAACTTCTAGGCTAGATAAAAATAACATTTGAATATTAATATGGTGTATGTTAATATGTGTAATATTTCAATAATAATGAATAGAAATCAAAATTAAACACGTTTACTGTGTAACGGCTTATATATCAATATATAACTAACATAGCCTGTTTTAAGACTTCTGGTATTTAGTTAAAAATACATAAAAAAACAATTAAGTTATCCAAAGTCTTATTAAATTAGTTAGTTTACACATTTCATAGAATATTGTTTTTTTTTTAAACATTGTTAACATGAAATAGCATATTGCAATTTTTGTTTTAAATTTTTGCATTTGTAATTATTCTAAAATATATTTTTCTCGACACACTAATGGGTTACCAATTATTAAATGATTTTTTTTCTTAAACTTATTAAAGTAAATGCCTAATAAATCAATCAAGCGCATAATAAAATAAATAATTTATAATGACATTTTTATACAATACTTAATACCTGTTGTTAGTGATGTATTTAGAATATTTTTTTAGTAATCTTTATTCAGAATATCTGTACTTGGCTCTGTTCAGCTTTTTTCGGACCACAGTCAGACAACACCCATTTGTCACCCCACCCAATTAATTACTACGTTTATATGATGGCATTAAAATGGTTTGAAATTAAATCAGTTTTAAATTCTTAAACTACATAGTGCCAGTGTTTTAAGGCTATCATATAAATATAGTTATTGATTGAGTGAGGTGACAATTTGGTATTGCCTGACTGCTATTCAAAGAAATCTGATAGCTGACGGGTACAGATATCATTCTGAATAAAGACTACTTACTGGAATATATACATTTGCACTATTTTAGAATTTATAATTGATTTAATTTCAAACCATTAAATATGATTTGCTGAGCGTAGAATTTGTTATGCTATGCACTTGTACGACGGAGATAACACATGCAAGTGCAGCGTTCTCTTAATAGGATTTTATTGTGTATAAAGCATAGTGCATGGTTATTTTTAGCATTATTAAAAATAAAAAGATTACCTTGTAGCAAATAAAATTATTAAAATTTGTTGTTTGATTAATACGTCTTTTTTATATATATACATTAATAAATAATTGATGTAATAAAAATTTTTTTTTGGGATTAGGCAAAAATGATTTAGATGAAACTGATGAGAAAGATGAAGATGAACAGTTGTCATTATTACGTAGTATTGAAACTACTGCTGCCGAATTTATAGATGCCATTCCTCTACCAAAACATGAAAATTTGCCTAGTGACTTGGAAGATAAAGACATTGCTGGGCCACCAGATAAGACTTAATACAGGTTTTTTTCTGTAGGTTTAAAAAACGCTGCTAGTCTTTCAAAACAAAACTGGATTATAAATTTTTTTTTAATGAATTCATGTTTTTTTTTTATAAAAAAAAACATTTATTTGTGATCTCCAAAATGTTGCAAAGTTTTGTTTTTTTTTTTTTTTTTATTATTCAATCGACTATTTTGTAAAGCCAATATCTGTTGGAATTCGTTATTTTTATCAATTACTCTTGGATTTTATGTGGATCAATTTCATCATTTCCCTACTTTAATTCTATTCTATAATTGTTTAAAAAATAATAATTTTAGTAAAATTTAAATAAAAAGTAATATGTTTTTATTATGTAATTATTAATTTATTTTATTTTATATCAATGAAAGAACTTTCTATAGACTTTCTAATCATAATTAATAGATTAGTTTTTTTTTTTTACAGGGAAATATTGTTTTTCTATCATCATAATGTACATATTATAAAAATAAAATTGAGTCTTAATGAGTTGTAATTATACATATAATATATTGAAAATTTATACAACTGTAAATGGAATGAAAATTTCTATAAAAATGTACAAAAATAATAATAATAGTAATAATAATAATAAAAGCAAAAGACTTAATTTAAACTACTTAAGCTCTAAGAACTAACGAATTGTAAGAGTTTTTTGATCCTGTGAACCATGACTTGTGCAAAACTGTCTTCTGACTTTTCCTGTAACAAATTATAAATATTCATTAAATTAAAATTGTTTTTTATCCAACTTAAAACAAGTCTAATTATATTATATTCTATAAAAAATTACAAGTATTTTAGGTAACGATAACCCATACTACCTAACCTGATTAGCAGTATTAGATCATATAAAACAGAACTCAAAACTTGTACTAATTAGACAATTTGTACTTTTTTTTGCAAGAAGGTTCTATTGTTGGCGAATTGGGTCTAGTTGTCAAAAATCAAGAAAAATATACTGAAAACTCGATAATATTCATTCAAAACTAGTTTTTGACAAAATTAATTTATTGTAATTCTTGAACAAATAACCGCAGACTTGAAATAATGAAAATTTTTTTTTGTAGCTGTTCATTCTGCACAGCATTTCCATTATAAATAAAATAAAGCGTTTAGATTTCCTCTTTCATAAACTCAGTTACACATTAATTACACATATTACTTTAACACAGTAATTTGGATGATTTCAACCAAATACAAAATATAGACCTAAAATTATTACATTTTCTGCAACTAATGGCAAAAAATATTTGTATGTCAAGTCTTAATTCATAATATTAATTATTATGTGAGCGCCTCAATAAAATGCAAAATTTAAAAAATTGATTTTGAGGTGCACATCTTAGAATATAGAGTACGTAGTGTGTACCAAATTTATTTAAGAATAAAGTGTGATAGACTTGGCTGTAGATCATTTTCTCGCAAGGCTTTTAATAACTTTTATATTAGTTTCAAAACCATTTTAGATTGATGTACTGGGTTTGTTATTTCATGCATTTGCATATCAGTCTTGCTAAGTTGTATGTAATGCTAGGTGACAGAAGTACCATGGTTAAGTATGTGAGATTTTTATTTTGCATAATTAGAGGTTGTTTGACTATTTGACATATTTATACGTTTTTCTATAGTATTATGCATATTTAACATATTACTACAAATTTTTTTTGAAAATGCAATGTAAATACATGGTGATTTTCACAACGTATATTTATGAAAAATAACACACAAAGTGCATAGGAATATATTATGTAACCTGCATTAAGTAATTAGTGGGAAACATGTAATATGAGTTGTTCTTTCATAAATTTAAGAAAAATTTAGTGTAATACCACAAATTTAGTAACAACTAAATCAGATCTCCTGTATTGCGCCTAGTTATTATAAACGATATTGATCTATACAAATGGTAAGCTTATTAGATTTTGGTATATTGTATATTTATGCTATGTACTATGTAGCATAGTCACATGTACAACCAAAAGGCAGTTCAGTAACTGTCAAAATATTAAGGCTAAATAACAAATACACACATTTGGAACTGCTAAGCACTAACTTGTTATGTTTGTAAGAAGATGACACACATGCTAGTAAGGCGCTCTCATAATATACTATTTTAATCAATTATACTTATGTAATACTAATTATTTCATATATATTTACTTCATTTGTTGCATTAAGTTTTTCAAGAAATGCTTCATTAAACACCTTTACCAATCCGAGTCTTAATTCTTTTAATTMATCAGGTGTTACACCATCTTCATCATCTTGGTTAGAACTTCCTGATCCTAATATTGATTAATTAACAAAGAATATTAAATTCTAAATAATTTTAGGTTTACAATAAAATACACTTACTGTTTAATCCTTTAGGCCGATGGACATGTTGAACGGGACTTTGCATAAAATAATAATCTGTGTGAGCCCACAAAATATATAGACATACTTCCACTATTTGTTTACAAAGTATACGTTGAGTTTGATCACCGGTATCCTTATTTTCTATCTCAGTTTCATTGTTACTTTCACCAAATAACTAAAAAGGATATTTTTATTCAGGTTGTAAAAAAAATGATGGGCAAGGATTATGACTAAGATATGAAGGGAGTGTTGGTTTTAATTTTAATTTAAATAAATTATGTGTAATTACTTGAATAGGTGATTTTCTATTTTCGGGTCTAGCTTTAGTGTTAAACTGCATGAAATAATGTTCAACAGTTTGAACCATTATTGTGACAATTGTACCCATTGACAAAACATTACCAGGGTTCAAATCACCTTAAATAATGATAATATATAAATAAAATAAATGAAAATACTAATAAGCTTTAATTATATACCATGGGAAGTAATATTAAATGGATCAGTGTACACAGAAACATCCAAAATCCGTCTTTTAAATTTCTGTCCACTAGTAGCCCATCCACCATCCATTAAATTTGACACATAATTTAATAAGTTTAATGTTATCTAATAGATATAATCATAAAATATTTTTAATTAATAATACTTTTGAAATTAATACAAGCTTAAATTAAATTTACTTACTCTCAAATATAAAGTAACATTTGTTTCGCCATCATTTGGACTAGATTCTTCAGAACACTTTTTACGTATTGCTCGAATAATGGATAAATTAACAGAAAATCGTATTAAAGTTCTTTGCATTAACACACTATAATGATAAAATAATCCAGCAATATCCTTGTCGCCACTTGAATTTATTTCTGAACTTGTATCTGTTTATAATTTACATTTATTTAATTAAATTATGATTTAATAAGTTAAACCCATTGTTGCCGAGGCTTAATTCAAATAAAAAAAAAAAAGATTTAATAAATATGAATAATTAAAGCAATCAAACATCATGTCATCTAAAGAATACCATTATATAAAAACAATCAAATTTTTTTTAATTTTCAATACTCAATTAATTAATATCTAATAAGCATAAACACTTTATTCTCATAGTAAGATTAAGGAATAAGAACATTTAAATTAAAACTTACCATCATTAGTAACATTAACAAACATAGTTGTTAATTGATAAAGTTCTTTAAGATACCATTGCTCACACAGTGGTGCTGAATTTGTAAGAGCAATTGTCACGGTATCACGATGACTAATCAAATAATAGACAACCTAAAARATAGTTAAAATTAAAATTATATTTTCATAATTAAAACTAAGTATTAATTACTTGGAGAATAGAAGTCATATTTTGATTTCCTAGTGTACTTATAATTGTTTGACATAAACACATTGCTGGTGAACATATCATCATATACCGATCGCCTTCATCCGGCATAAATTCTTTCATTGAACGTTTGAAACTATTTAACACGTGCAAAACAATATTAATGTAAAAACAATATATAAAAATGTATTTTACAATTAAATTTAAATATTAAAAAGAATGAATATAAATAATTTCAATTTGAATTTATGATTTACAATAATGTACATGGACAAAATTCGATATTGATATGTGAAAGAATAAAAGTTTTAGTTATTTAATTATAATTCAAAAATATTTTTTTGTGGGAATTTGATACTTCCATCTATATTTTTACGTTTTACGTACATAATTACATTTTCAAAACATATAGATTAATTATGCAATTACCATGAACCTATTCACACTAATCATAAAATGGCATTGTCTCAAAAGTTGAAAACAATAACAAGTATATGGAAGCTTGGTATGGCGCGGTTAATGCAATCAGTCATGCAATACAGATAAACATTTTATATGCCTTAAATTAAAAAAAAAAAATCAATTATAAAAAACTGATCTTGAACCAATATTCCGGCTTTTTCCAATCATTAAGAAAATTATAAGGGATTTTCGTTTTTCCTTATGGTAAAATTTAATTAAATTATGATAATTTAATTTAATTACCTTGTTTCAAAATTTGGATGAGCATYAATTGCTTTCATTGATGACAAACATGCTATTGCTTGATGATTAAGTAACGCATCAGCACCAGTTGTGTAAGTAGCAATTTTATTCAAAAGACTCTAAAGTATTTAATATTAGTAAAAATGAAGTTAAAAAAATTGTTAAAAATAAACTTACCATTTTATTTTCATACACATAAATGGGTTTCAAAGTTTTATTTTTTGCTGAAATCAAATCTTTAAGTTCTGAATCTGATTCTAAAAGGCTAGATATAATGCATTTAAGATAACCTTGATTAGATATATAACTTATAAGTTTTGGGTTGATATCTATTAAAAGTTCACATAATGTGTATGATAATACCTAAAACAATTTTAAAAATCAATTATACTTTAGCAATTTAATTTATGAAGAAATTTACGTAAAATTATAAATACTTTGCATATATCATGACCAGATGTTAAGTCAACACAAATTACTTCCAAAATTCTTTCACTTAAGTATTGGTCAAAATTTAAAGACTTAATGAACTTAATGGACTCGGAATCAAGAATCTGCTTGTTTGTAGAATTATATATGATGCTTTTTTGTTTGAGGTTTCCATTGGTCAGTGTTCGACTATTAGTAGCCAAAAGATTAATCAATGCTATTAACGATGAATATAAGCTTGCTCGTAATTTTTGAGAACCTAAAATTTTTTTTATTTATTACAGTTTATTATTTTAATTTATAACATAATATACTATATACCTGATTGCTGTATGCATTTAAGTATATTTTGAAGCATGCTTGAATAAATACTTGACTGTCCAGTAACAAATGACCCTAAATTAAGGTCAGGACTAACAATGCATAGCTCCAAATGTTGGTCAATAGTATT